TGTGATTATAACAAATTTTCATATAGTGAAAATTCTTTTATTGTCCATGATTTTCTACATCTTTTTATTTTTTCACATATATTCTTGTGTCCGTGTCCGTGTCTGTGTTCATGTTATTTTTTATTTTTTTTATTTTTTTGTTTTCTTGATATTTTCTCGGAAGAAGAGCATGGTGTGAATTAGAATATTTGCCAGATGTCATGGACAAAATTATAAAATACAAAATTATCTTAAATACGATAACTGTTTGAAAGATAGTGTGCAGAAGCTGCCCCAAGCTAAATGTCCCCTAGTTCCCTTGCTTCAACCACAGTTGGACTTACATGGCTCACCTTTCTTCTTCAGGATGTTTGCATTTGTGTTCACAACTTCAGTAATTAGTGATTACTTCACAATACTTTCAATCCGCCGATCATCCGTGCAGGTATTTAACACATTGTAATCGATTATCACTCTATGTGAGAGAAAACTGCAACATGAACCTTAGTAAACGTATTCTTCCATCAAAAAATGGCCATTGGATATTTTTTCCTAAATGTTATACATGTAGAAAATGTTATGCATGTAGAGCCTCTCACGGTAATTTTTAAAATCACAAGATTAGCTGCAAGATAAAGTGGATAACAAATAATAATTCTTTCCATAAGATTCAGTAGCCATTGGAAATTGTCTTCCTAAATCCTTCTAACTTTGTTTTCGCATTATCTTGAATATAAATTGATATACAGGTTAACTAATTCAAGGCAATGAAATATTGGCATGGAAATATATATTTCTGTTTCATAAACCCACCCCCGTACGGATTCGTCGAAGTTACAAGAGAATTTAATGCAAGTGCAAATTCACAAAATATTGATCACCTTGCAGGTCAAACAAAGGATTCATATAACACAAAAATTGTTATTCTTCATCAAATAATATCAAGTTGATTAAAAGAATTATAAACAAAAAGAAGAAAATATATAGGAGAGTTCGGGTTTTTTCCTCCTCATGGTAGGAACTTCTAGTTCCTTATATAGTCTGTTCCCTTTATTAAGGGAATTAGTTTCTCACGTCGATTAAAAATTAAAAAGGAGTGGTTAAATAGAGCTATATAAGGGAGTGCTAGGAAAAAGTGCATAAAAATTTTGATTGTCGATCCAACGATAGGGGAGGGAAAAAAAAAATTTGGGTGTGTGAGAATTATTGTGCGATTAATGTACATTTTATAACATTGTCCATCTTTTATGGCCTGTGATTTTTCTTTCATTTTAGAGTTTTTCACTAAATTATAGTGTTAATCTTGGGGAATGCACGAATAAATTGGTCAAGAGTTCCAACAAAGGTTATACTGATATACTAACACAAGAAGAAGAAATCCATGAGCTATATCTGCTGTCTAAGTCACAAATTTCTGCATTTGGTTTGTAAAGAAAATTTAATCAAATCAAACAACACTTTCATTTCAGATCATAACAAATTTATCTACGGAGAAATCTGCCCTCGTTGGGGGGAGCATGAACCGATGAGCAGATAGAAAATAAAACCTTGGACACTACAGAAGGTTCAATTGATTTTACATGAGCACACTCGAAATTGTCAAAGTACGTGGACATCCATTAAATTATATCCATTTACGTACTAGAAATTTTAAGTACACAGAATGACACAAATATGTCTCCAAAGTTCGCGTTCTGCTCACACTTACCTAAGAGGTCTTGCAACCTAGGTTAATCACATCTGTCAGTCTTTTTTGCAGCGTAGCAAGAACATTGCATTTGAGACCACTGGCCTGCAAATATGATGAGTAAGAAATTGTGAGCAAAACGTATGATAAATGAAACCCTGAATCAATCACTCATACGATTGTATCAGTACCTCACACTGAATTATATGGAGTGAACTTTCATTCTCTTTCACAGAAGAACAACTAACAACAATAAGCCCTCTCTCTAGTAATTCTACAAGCACGTTGGAGAGGGGGAACCCTTCCTCTTTGAAGCTGCTGATTAGAATTTCCACACCATCGGAGAAAGGGTTCACTGTGACTAAATCAGGTGAATAACTAGAGGAACTGCCGACATTGGCACTGAGAGTGCCTGAATTAGACAACATCTTTAGCTTGTCTCTTTGCAAACCTAGTTTCTTGATATTCTTTTTGGTATCTATTATGTAATTTACAGCCACTTCTATAAGATCTGATAACGACTTCTTGCCCTAAAACACCATGAATAAAATGTTACAGGTATCTTTACTGAAAAAACATACAATATCAACAAAACGAGCGTTTCTCCCCGTAACTTTAGGATGTTCTACATTAATTTTCAGTTCATTGGTAAATCCAGATGTTAATGTTCTGCAAAGTACATATTAAGGGTACAGAGAAAAAAAGAAGCACCATTAAAAATAATGAATTTACCTTCAGATGTTCAGGAGGAACAAGTGATCGAAGAGAAGCATAACGATTAGCCATTTCTTTTCTTCTCTGCCGTTCAATATCTCTATGTATAAGTTTCTTAATATTAGATTCGTAAAAAGTGTTTCT